TATATTTATATTTATATTTATATTTATATTTATATTTATATTTATATTTATATTTATATTTATATTTATATTTATATTTATATTTATATTTATATTTATATTTATATTTATATTTATATTTATATTTATATTTATATTTATATTTATATTTATATTTATATTTATATTTATATTTATATTTATATTTATATTTATATTTATATTTATATTTATATTTATATTTATATTTATATTTATATTTATATTTATATTTATATTTATATTTATATTTATATTTATATTTATATTTATATTTATATTTATATTTATATTTATATTTATATTTATATTTATATTTATATTTATATTTATATTTATATTTATATTTATATTTATATTTATATTTATATTTATATTTATATTTATATTTATATTTATATTTATATTTATATTTATATTTATATTTATATTTATATTTATATTTATATTTATATTTATATTTATATTTATATTTATATTTATATTTATATTTATATTTATATTTATATTTATATTTATATTTATATTTATATTTATATTTATATTTATATTTATATTTATATTTATATTTATATTTATATTTATATTTATATTTATATTTATATTTATATTTATATTTATATTTATATTTATATTTATATTTATATTTATATTTATATTTATATTTATATTTATATTTATATTTATATTTATATTTATATTTATATTTATATTTATATTTATATTTATATTTATATTTATATTTATATTTATATTTATATTTATATTTATATTTATATTTATATTTATATTTATATTTATATTTATATTTATATTTATATTTATATTTATATTTATATTTATATTTATATTTATATTTATATTTATATTTATATTTATATTTATATTTATATTTATATTTATATTTATATTTATATTTATATTTATATTTATATTTATATTTATATTTTTAGTTATATTTCTTTTCCTATTTAAATTTTAATTTGGTGTCCTTTTCTTGCACCAATCATTTATGAGGAAAAGTTTATTAAATGTAGCCTGAAGTATATAAGCACCAGAATGAAAGAAGACATAGTCATCAATATATGAGATTTTTAACCAAAAATCCGTAAAGCAAGCGTAAAGCTTGGAAACTTCGATGCGTGAGAGCCGGCCTTCGGGCGTAACATGAGGAGTTTTGGTTTTCAAATGCTCAAAAGTTAGAGATTAAACACGCATAAACACTGTTGCACGATCTCAGTGGCCAATTGACATCACCATGTCGGGAACTTACATAGTCGGGCAATTTCACTCGCCATAAAGCTTGTGTTGTGTGGCAGCATCTTGTCGAAACCACATATTATTCAAGTGGTTATCATACGACAATAACACCCCGAATTGACACTGACAGTCTTGCCGTTGTTGGTTCGATCATACCTCTGGACCGCCGAACGCACCGCACAGTAAGCTTCTTTTGTGTAATGAACTCTCTTTCATTACTTTAGGGTTTTCAAAGCCCTAAATGCGATAATTTGTTAATTTCATATCCCCCGAGGCAAAAATTAGCCTTGTCGATAGAGAAAATCTTGCTCGAAAAATTACCGTTCGTTGCTTGCTGTTCAAGCACCCAATCGTCGTTGTGAGGCCATTTTAAATGATCGCCTGGCCTCAGTTGATGTGTTAGATTAACTGTATTTGGATCAAGGTGTAAGTAAAATATCAAAATACGTCAGAATGTGCCGAAGGAAAGTTTCTTGAGAAAGTCAAAAAGTGGACACGTTCGTAATTTTGACCACACTTTCACTTACAGTAGTGATTGTTAAGGTGGAACGAGCAAAACTATGATGCATAGGCCTTACAATATCTATAACCGATGCATCATAATCTCCTCTTAAAACACGAAACGTGGTCAAGTGTAAATCACCATTTCTTTTTAAATAGTTTACATAAATTTAGGGCTTTGTGTGCCTTCTACATGTAAAATAAAACATGTTTGGCTTGGCAGTTGAGCTTGGCTGATATCAAAATTAAGTCCTCAGTAGATAGTTGAAATCACGAATCGATTTTCTTTTTGTTTTTTATTGTTTTATTTAACATTTTTATTTTGATTATTGCTTATGTTATCTTGTCTATTTTTGTACAAATTCCAAATTTTTTATTTTTGTTTTAGGTTTTATTTAACTCTATATTTAACTCTTGTATTTTTTCTTTTTCTTTGTATATTGATTTTATTTCTGTATACATATTTATTTTTTAATTTGTTTTTACTTTTTTTTATCTGTAATTATTAATCTTCTTGTTTCTATTGTTCAGGTTTGTGATATAAACATTTTAGTTTATTATTATAAATCTTTTTCAATTTATTTATATATGTTTCCGTCCATAAGTATTATTGAAAAAAATCTTATATATCAGAACAATTTGAAGCACTCAATCTTGAACTGTAGTAAATTTAATTCCGAAATCATCTTTTATTGTGAATTCTTTACATAAATTTTATACTTTGGTAGACGGAAAAATATTAAATCTGATTGTGAAATAATTTGTAGGAGTTTCACAAGAGAAACCTGATATTATCTGTCTAGTATTGAGATATTGATAATGAAGAAACTTTCGTTTCTTACTAATTTCTCAGTATAGTTACAGTGAAGTAAGTCTTGCTTAGGGCATGCTTATTACATTTCGTTTCGGCTGAAGCCTTAAAGCTTTTGAAATTCAAACCAACAATATGTGCATTTTCAGATTAATAAATACAAAATGAATATTTGTAAATCTCTATGTTTATTTAGATATTCTTAGATTATCAAATGATGTGATAATCAATTTTCATGAATATTTCTTTCTTGTTAAAAATTTGAATTTTTGCTAATTCATGCCATTAAATTTAATATTTAAAATACCCAACGTCTCAAACCCTTAATTAATTGGATAATCAAAATCCTGCAAGCTCAAAAAGAAATCCATCGCTGAGCGATAGATTTAATCTGTATCAATATGTAGTCAAAGAATGGATACATACATATAAACACAACTTAAATGTTGAGTGCCATGCGTAAAATAATCAAGGAAACTTAATTAGGAAAGCAACAATTTTTTCATGCTTTCCCTAATAACTCAAAAAATTTAAATTAATTTTTAACTAAAAAAAATATGAGAGAAACTACAAAAGTAAGACTTTACTTGCCTCACGCCAAACTAATATTAATACTAAGTAGACTATCAGACTATTAAAGAAAAAAATCAAAGCAACTTTCTTTGATACGTTTATATATTTAATTGGAAAAAATCGAAAAACAAGTATCAAGCAATAAAGACCAAGCAATATTTCTTAGCAAAATACCGCTCAATGCATAAGATGCATAAAATATCCGCCAAGTTCTTGTTTGCATTTATTTATTTACGAATTTCAAATTTCAAACGGTTGTTTGCCTTCATCATTAGGAATTCATAACAAAATTAGAAGGCAGTCGCTAAAGTTTATTTAACGCTTGTATATATTTTTTTTAAAAGCGCCCATCAGCAGTAGCGCGTCTCTTCCGCAAGTCTGCGTCATTGCCGGGAACATGAAACATTTCCTGTTGTGCGCGGAGTAATTGCCCTTTGCATCTGGTTGTAGTTGTTTGTGTTTTTTTTTTCATTTCGTGCCACCACCACGTCTTAGACACTCGACAGTCTCTGTTCGCATCGGATTGACAGCTGTAAACAAGCGTAAGAACCTCAATTGAGGCATTCATGAATAATTGATGATGTACTGCAATTCGCTCTCGACGAGAGACTCACTGACAGGACTGTAAGCTTGGGATACAGTGGTGGCAATTAATTCAGAGATGGACAATGCCTGTGGGAAATGCAAAATAGATATAATATGCTAATGTGAAAGTAATTTAGGGTCACTAGTAAATGCTTCTTGGAGAAAAATAAAATAATATAAAATTAAAAGAAATTAAATACAAAACAATAAATTAAAATAAAAATTAAATAAAATTTATATTTAATTAAATAAATTTGAATTAAAATGAAACAATATAAATTAAGTAAAATAACATAAAATTAATAAAAAAAAATAAAATAAACTAAAATAAAATATAATAAAAAAATTAAATTAAATTAAAAAAAATTAAATAAAATAAAACAAGTAAAATAAAATAATATTAAAAATATTTGAAAAAGTAAACTAAAACTTGAGAAGAAATAATAAAAAAAAAATAATAAAATTAAAGAATAGAGTAAAATAATATGGAACAAAACGAAATAAAATAAAAAAGAATAAGAAAATAAGTTAAAATGAATCTTAATAAAAATAAATCAAATTAAAATAAAATAATATAAAAACAAAATAAAATAACATAATTTTATAAATAAAAAATATATTAAAATTAAATAGAATTGCATTAAAAATAAAATGAAATAAAGAAAAATATTAAATTACATTAAAAAAAAATAAATATAATAAAATATAATAAAAATAAAATAAAATAGATTAAAAGGATTAAAAAAACAAAACAAAATTATATAACAAAAAAAAAANTAAAATAAAATAAAATAAAATAAAATAAAATAAAATAAAATAAAATAAAATAAAATAAAATAAAATAAAATAAAATAAAATAAAATAAAATAAAATAAAATAAAATAAAATAAAATAAAATAAAATAAAATAAAATAAAATAAAATAAAATAAAATAAAATAAAATAAGGGAGAATATAATAGAATAAAACTTATTGAAAATTGTTAAAGTTAATAAATAACTTAAGTGTTAACTTATTGAATCGATTGCTTGCCAACCTAACCTTATTAAAGCATTTAGTAAATAAAGCATGTCTAAGCTTTATGTTTTAAGTTTTAATTTTCTTAATTTAAATTTTTATTTCAGTTGTGTTTAGTTTTGGTTAGAGTTCTCTCATGTATTTTATATTTAAAACTAATTTATTTATTTTATTTATTTTTCTCGCGCTGCATCTACATGGTGTTAAATTCCAACCGGCATTCCCAATGTGTGCAGATTCTTCAACAAAATCTTCAAGTGGTCGAAAAAGTCGTAGATTCTTTGGGTGGAGGGGGCCACGTGGTGGTTCCCTTGGCCCACGGGCCGGTATGGCTTCCTATAATGGGGTGCTAAAGGATTATGGACATAGCAGTTTGAATGAGGCTTTCAAATCCCAAAATAATGTCAACTTTAAGTTAATCAAAACAGGTGAGTGAAAATGATGCTCTAATTGAAAATAAGTATTTTTAGCTTCATATCGATTTTAGTATTTTAATACTTAGTTAAGTAACACGAACTGTTCCTTTAATTTGGTATATTTTTATTAAACGAAATGTAAAATATTCTACTCTACTGTTTTAATGTTTGAAAACAGCAAAATCTGCTCATTTTTCTTAATTTTAATCTAATAAATTATGAAAGAGTTTGATGTCGGCCTTTCAATCCGCCAACGCTTATCCCAAAACAAAACTGTCAAACAAAAGTTTGCTCGCATCAAATGCAGTGAAACAACCAATACCACGTTACTGTTGTGGGTCAAATGTTAAAATTACTCACACCGTTATTTCGATGCGCATAAACTTTATTGAGAAAGCCCCATGTGGCCATTGATGCGACAGCGGCAATTATGCGGATACCAAGCGCCTGCTTTGGCTTGGGCAAGTGACAAAACTCAGAAGTGACTGAATATCCAGAGGCGAGTGGCAGTTTTACGAACGGATATTGGTGTTTGGCACGTCAATTCTCGACTGCGGTCTGCCATTCGTTCGTCCTTCGCGTCGCGGTCGCAGTCGCGGTTGTAGCGTGTTATTTGGGACTATTTTTAAGGTTGTATATTCTACTGTGTATATTTATTTATTTAAATAGTTGAATATTTGTCTATGTGAGGGTAATTGTTTTGCACACAGCCAATTGGTCGTGCAGAGCTAAACTCGAATTCCTCTGGAGTCTGAAATAATGATTTCATATACAAATCACATATTGATTTTGGCCCAACGAGCTTCATACGTGAGCGAAGCCTAAGTGATATTCCTACTTTAAATGAACTTTCTTTAATAAAAAACTATATCCAAGGAGGATGTGAAGAAGAACCTTCGTTTACTAACTTTTTTCTAAAATTTTGGGTCCTTCTGACCATAAAAAAAAAACATCCGAGCAATCTTTTTTTAAAGTGAAGTCAAAATTTTAAAAAACCTTACATTTTTTGTTACATAATCTTTTAAATCTTCGCTATACTCGTAGAAAAAGGTTCAGAAGATTGGCGTAGCTGGAAGTAATAGAACCAAAAAAAAATATTTAAATAGGAAGTGTCGGCTAAGTCTTTGCAAAGAGCAACGACACCAAAAAGTCTTTCTCTTTTGAAATACGTCTCCCTTCATGAAAACTGAAAACAAAAAAGTAGTAAAAGACTGAGCTGGAAGTTTTCTTCTTTCTGCCGACAGCAGGACCAACAAAGCGATCTTAATCTCGCCAAAAGGGGGGTTGTGACTTCTCATGGTGTATGGGCTTTATACAAGTATTGAAATACTCAGAGAAGAAGTCCCACATTAAGCCTCAGGAATGCGTGTCCCGTACCTGCCTACTTGATATAGCAGGTGTGATGGTTAGTATATATACCAAAGGGTCTTGTGATCATCGTTGAGATTCGGATAATTAACATAAAAGTGACTTATTCAGTAAAACTAAAAGGTAGACATCTGAAAATACTATTGTAGGTACTTTGGTCCAGTGTTGATGGACATGAAAACGCTTAGTGCGTCTGATAAGAAGTAACCTTTCGTCCGGGGCAAGCAATCTAGCGCTCCACTGTTAAGAAAGAATGGATGAAATAATAATTACGGTTTGCAGACAGATCAATACTTCGTTAGCGCTAAGCAAAAGAGATCTTAGTATTCTTGGAAAAGTATTGACGGAGCAGCTAGCTCTGCCTTGCCTGTGCGATTATCGGGTTTCAACATATTGAAATAGGTAGAATGGGAGGAATAAACCAAACTTCACGTTTTTCTCATACATAGTACTTAATGGAGCAGTACTATTAGAATTAGTCGCCTCTTACGAAAGGCATGCCTTACCGCATGAAGCTGCGGTGTTCGATTTCTTCTCTTTATTATAGAAGATTATAGAGGTGGAAATCTGCTCTTGGCCCATTTTTCAACGACTTAGGTCGGTAGGCGTTGCGTGAGTATATTGGGGTCCAAGAATGTCAGCTTTCATTGGCAAGCTTTGCAAGTTCGAGGAAGTTTCACTCATTATCGTGTTAGCAATTCCAGCTAATGATGAGAATAGTCGTTTAATCTAGCATCAGTTCTCGTACACATCTATTTTGACTTGATTGGTATTGAGGAGGAAGTGAGAACACCAGACTTTTGTAACCAAACCTAACCTCTTTCTCGTATCGCAGGTTGTCGAAAACATTGAAATGCCTTTCACCCCGCAGAGAGTAAAAAACTGATATTTTAAACATAATGTCATACTAGTCCATCTTGAACTAGAATTAAACCAACTTATTGGGAACTAGTATCTAACTAGTTTGTTCATAAATGGTAGATGAACCAGTTGATATAAAAATTTAAAACTGATATCAAACATATGCGTTACATATATACAACATAGTCCTTTAGGAATATTTCTATAAGCATGTTTTTCTGCAGATATACTCGCAACAATGTGGGTGTGTTGATGTAAGTGCTTTGGGAAATTTTATTTCCCCACATACGTCGATGACTACGACGAGTACTTGACTATCACTTTTGACTTCTATAATTGAATGGGACACCGACAAGAGTATGCTCGATATACATTCATACATAAATTTCTGTGTGTGTGTATGTGTGTGTGCGTGTGCGTACGCATGTGTGTGATGGCGTACTCGTCACTGTCTGTAAATGACAAATTACAAGGTTTTGCTTTTGAAAATTGTGTCGGTTTGGCACAAAAGAGACCTCTGTGGTGGATTGGAGAAACCCTTTCGATAAAATGTAACTTTGCACATAAAGTAAATGTGTATACGAGTATGTAGGGATATTGGCGTATATCTGTGTAAAATATTTATTTTTTGTACTTATATATGTATGTTTGCCTGATTTCTTCGATTTTATCGCTATTGTAATATTATCTAATTTTGTCTGTCGAGTATAAACAAATATACATATGTACATTTCGAATATTTATATTCGCCATGTACGTATGTCTATGTATAAATTTTACGGAATCGTTGTGTGTTTTGCATATTTTTTATCATAAATCAATTCAAAAGTTTTGTATAATATATAATATTTTTTTATATATAAATGGAATAGAAATTGAACAAATACGCATAAAAGATTTGACTAGTACAACGAAAGCAATAACAGTTGTTTTTTTGACATAGATAACAACGTTAGTTTATTACCAAATGCATAAACATTGTAATATTATATAGAAACTAAATAATAATTTATGCATTGTCCAACAACAAATTGTCCAATTACAAAGTGCTCTACATCCAACCAATTAAACTTATCTAAGTAACATTTATGGCAGTTGAGTTCTAATTTCTCATGAATTTTCTGCTATTTTATTATTTGGAAAATGATATGTTGAGCAGCAGGAGTCAGTTATAAATCAATTTCTCATAAAACGATAGTAAATATTATTTATTTGTTTGCCAGGAAGATGTGTTGTTTTATTGATTTTCTGCATTGTGCTGGCCATTATTTTTTAAACCTTGAAGTAATTTCATTAAATTTATTTTTTTGTTATTTTTAATTAAATTTTTTTTTATTTATATACGAGTAGATATTTGTAAATTAGGATGTTTTAAAGAGAACATTTTTTAAAAGCAATGACTGTTGGCAAATGACGCCTACAAGTAGGCAAAATAAACATTTGAGAATTAAAGCTATGAAGCAAAAAAAAAACCTAAAAAAAAGGAATTTAAATCCATTTTAACCACAAATTTTCTGAATTTTTTATTTTATATTTTTACTTCTTTGTATTATTTTTTTATAGTTTATTACTTTTTCCTTAGCCTTTATTTAATTATATTTTATTCTGCTCTATATTTTTTGTTTTTTTTTTAATTTTTTTTATTCCTATACATTTTATATAACTTTTTTTTTTCATTTGATTTCAACTTAGTTTTTTTTTAATGTTGTTTTTATTTTATTTTATTGTATTTATATTTTTATTCATTTTATATCAGTTTTTCTATTTTCTTATGCTTTTAATTTTTTTTGATTTTGTATTTTCTTTACTTTTTTTTAGTTTATTTGGTTATATACATTTTGTTGTACACTTTTTATTTTATTTCAACTTATTATATTTAATGTAATTTTTTGTTTTGATTTTATAGTTTGTTGACTATTCCTTTATTTGATTTTTTAATTTTATTTAATTATGTTTTATTTTATTTCAATTCATTTTCTTTTATTTATTTTTTTGATTAATATTTTTATAAATTTTTTCTTAATATTTTTATATTATTTTATTTTATTACATTTGATTTTAGTTTTGTTATATATATTACATTTTGTTTTTATTTTATTGCATAAATATTTTTATTCATTTTATAGTGTTTTTTCTATTTTTTATGCTATTAAATTTTGTTTGTTTTTTATATTTTATTTACTTTTTTTCTTGTTTATTTTACTATTTACAGTTTGTTGTACACTTTTTATTTTATTCATTTCAACTTATTATATTTAATTTAGTTTTTGGTTTTGATTTTATAGTTTGTTGACTATTCCTTTATTTCATTTTTTAATTTTATTTAATTATGTTTTTTTTTTATTTCAATTCATTTTGTCTTATTTATTTTGTTTTATTTATATTTTTACATATTTTTCCTTAATATTTTTATATTATTTTATTTTATTATATTTGTATTTTAATTAAGATTATTTTAATTCAATTGGTTTTTATTTTATGGTAATTATAATTTTATTCGCTTTATATTTTTTTTTAAGATTTATCTATTGTAATTTTTTTACATTACTTAATTTTTTTTTTTTTTTTCATTTTGCTCTTAGTTTATTTTACCCCAGTTTGTTTTGCACTTTTTACTTGTAATATTTAAATAAATAAATTTTTTGATTTTATAGTTTGTTGGCTTTTCCCTTATTTTAATTTTTTAAATTTTAATTAATTTATTTCATTTGTTTTATTTTATATACATATTTTTGGGTTTTGACCAATGAATAGTTTAGGCTATGGGTTAGTGCGTCAATGAT